TTATTCCCTAAGATCTGACGCTTTCCCTAGTCCTGCTACACCTGATTATCGAAAAGCGAGTGTTGCGATGCAAAAGGGTTGGAGCTCCGAGCGAGTTCCCTTGCACACAAATGCGAGCCGGAAGCATGTCGCTGGTGCCCTGTTACCTCTCAATAATGGAAGAACGTTGCCATCCAAATGGGAGGATGCCGAGAGATGGATTCTCAGTCCCGTTTCAGGAGATAGCACGGGGCGGGCTTCGCTTCCTGAGCCCCAAAGGAGGCCAAAGTCAAAGAGCGGTCCGCTTGGACCTCCTGGTGCTGGTTATTATTCACTGTATTCGCCGGCAGCACCAATGTTCGAAGGGGAAAATGCGGGGAATTTCATGGCTTGTTCTCCATTTTCAGGTGGTGTTATCTCAACTGATAGCTTGACAATTCAATCCAGTGACCCTCGTGGAATCCTTCCGATGCAAGCAGAATCTTGCATGGCCCGCTCAGTTAGTGTGCATGGATGCTCTGAGATGCAGGGCCAATCATCAATGCCTTCCCAAGGTACTATATTCAATGTTCCAATCTTCCTTTCCATTTTACTTCAATGTTAGGTGCTTGCAATGACTATCTTTGAAGTTTGGAACATCGTCGAATATTTTTGATCTCAGAGAAAGAAACTATGAGGATCATCTGGTGTATAAGAGCTGAGAAGGATTGGCTAAAACAATTTTGCGTGGAATCTAGTTATCTAACTTTAAATGAACCTCGTGCAAACCCCCTAACGCATGTCAATATTTATTTGATATGCAGAATCTAACGAGTCATCATAACTATAAATGATGGTTTCCTTATATGACCACTCAACTGTGCTTCTATGCATCTTATGTTGCTCTCTTGCCCTTGGTTCTAGCAGAGAAAAAGTTTGGCGGCTTCAAAGATGCTGCCACCAATGTATCTGGTGCTATTTTAAGGAGGGACATGGCAACCCAGATGAGTCCAGAGGGTAGCCAATGTTCCTCTCCCAGCACGAGGACATCATTCTCTGCCTCCACACCATCTGTCCTGCCCATCACTGAATTGCAGGGTGTATCTTCCTCTAAAATGGATATCAGAGATGTGCAGGTTGATGAACGAGTCACCATGACAAGGTGGTCCAAGAAGCATAGAGCCCTCTTCTCAGGGAAAGGCTCAGAAAATGTTGACAAGCGGAAAAAGAAAGAAATAAGAGCTCATTCTTCATCTTGGGACCTGACTGGAACAGCAAAGACTCACTCAAAGTATGTCTTGTTTTTTATTATATTAATTTTATGCAATTTCTTTTGTTAAATGAGGAAGAAAATGATACAGCAGGGCTTTATTAAACTCATGAATGATTACTAAATTGCAGGTCACAGTAGTCTAGGAGTTTATTGTGATTTGGTTACTAAATTGGCTATAATTTATTAGTACTGATATGATTACTCGAGTAATCAATAATCCATCTTCATCCCCTTCCCAAGGGTGTAGAAGCGGACCATCACAACAGCATCCTGCATAATCAAAACTAGAGAACTGAAGTTTATAAAGTTCTCTGATCTGACAGTATCTGCCACGAGAAAAATCTCGCAATATCCTACTTAACAGTTGTTAGTGCTATCTCTATCTCTAATGTTAGTAAAATGCCAGCTTTTTTTTTTTTCCCTTTTTGTTTAGGGCAAAAAGGGAGGAGGCCAAAATCACTGCATGGGAAAACTTGCAAAAGGCAAAAGCTGAGGCAGCGATACGGAAGCTAGAGGTAACTCTCTAATAACATATTTCCTTACCATCAGTTATCGGTGATAATTAAATTAAATTTCCCTCGTTTTCCTTAACATAATTTTGTTAATCCTAAGTTAGCAGATTGTAGCATATTTCCTGCTAACTTGACTATTGTGGGTCAGATTGTATGAATGTGAATTTTGCTTGCAGAAACAATGAATTATTATAGTCATTATTTTATTTGTTATTTTAGATGAAGTTGGAAAAGAAGAGAGCATCTTCTATGGACAAGATCATGAGCAAGCTGAAATCAGCTCAAAAGAAAGCTCAGGAAATGAGAAGCTCAGTTTTAGCCAACGAGGCCAACGGACTTGCTGGAACTCCCCACAAGGCCATATCATTCCGTGGAAGTAGCCACATGGGTTCTTTGGGTGGTTGTTTCACCTGCCAGGCTTTTTGATGCACAGTCCAGTATTGTTAAGTTCTCAGTTCGCCTGATGCTGGGCAAATTTCCCTGTAAAATGTAGAGTTCAAACCTTGTCCTGTTTCAGAAATTACATCATTGTATGCTTCTGAATGGTAAATTTTTGTCAAATGGATACAGATTGCTGATAGGTAAACAGATGTTATTAGCTAGATATACAAGAATCATTTTCACGCGTTATTAGACTGTTTTGACTTTTCAAGCAGAGGCAAGTTATTGCTTTCTTCTGTCATATTATCCATTAATCCTCAGCTTTCCTTTAAAAATATAAATAAGCTGCAGTTTATTGTCGTCTCTGCAACTAAACATGAAACTTCTACTATTGACATCCATGTTTGGTCTGAGTGGTTTTCTGAGGGGTTCAAATGCGTCGGATGGAGGATATGAATGAATAGTGTGATGCACAATGTAACTGGTAAATTAGTTTGATCGCCTTTTTCGCCCTATATAAATTCATGATGCATGTATTGGCGCGGCCCAAACTCTATGCGCGGTGTTTTGTAATTTTTTCGCCCAATTTTCCCGTTGAGATGTAATCCATCTATTATTACAGAGCAAAACGTCTCTACCGTTTGTCTTACAATTATAGAGACTGAAGTGCATCAATTTATGTTATTGCTCTCTCTCTAAACTTATTTCCTACCAAGTTTAAAGCACCTAATTTCGTTTTGAGAGAAGCTTAAGCAGTTGTTGCGCTAGAAGAACGCAAGAGAGCAGGTTAGAAGGGCGTATGTCGCAATGGACATGGTAAAGGTTAAAGCAGGAAATAAGGGTTGATTGGACGGGGTTCTGTTGAAGTTGGATCCATCATGTGTTACTAGAAAGTTGGGTTTAGTTGGGTTCATTTTGTGGCCATTTCGGTTTATAGAATCTTCTCTTCCTGACTCATTGTTGCTGAATGCATAGGAAAGGCAAGCACGGCCCAAAACAAAATATAACCAGGCTCCTTCAAAGGGTCTTAGCCCAATTTTGTTTTGTAAAAGGAAGACGAAGAAGAAGGATCTTTCCATGGCAAACAAGGCCTTGACTAATCCAATCAAACCACCCGACATCAGTGTATTAAACTCTCGTTGAGTGTTTTATTGGTATCTCACTAATTGCTCGCGTTGTGCCATTCATTACTATATCAGCTATGCATTTGTTCCGTTTCTAACTTTACCAGTCACTACCTCAGCTGTGAGAGGACCGAATAGACAGCTTTTAATGTTCGGCTCAAAAAGAAATACTCTGCTTGTTGGCAATGACCGGCGACATCAACAATGCAAAGCCCACACTTCATTTCCCCATCCCCTCAGAGAAATGGCAGCGGTTTCAACTTCTTTACATTATATATAAACAAACACCAAGAATTAATTAAATTGGTAAGGAGTCGTTCATAACTCATAAAGTATAAATTTAAATCTCACTGTTGATATGAGAACATTATTGATGCACAATTTGTAAATATTTTTTGAGTATGAAGATATGTTCTGGTCCAAATAAGTTCTTGGACCTAGCTCACTTATAATTTTTTTGTTAAAAAAAAAATATATAAATAAAGTGATCTGTTTGAATTTATATTTTTGTTTCTATCCGATACTTGTAATTAATATGTGTGTTTTATGTTTTCTATTAGGTGCTAAATATAATTTGGGTCACTTTCTATCTTTTCTTTTACCTTTCATTTTCCTTTGTCATGCTCTTATTGAAAATTTCTCACTCCAAGCTCAAAAGTCAAACCCATGGTCTCTCTGTGTTGGCGCCTGGGGCAAGACGGTCACATGGGTCTTCTGACAGCTTTCTCTGACCAAATTGTCTACTCATTTATGGCTCTTCTCCACGTATTTATTACTCTTCCACTCTCAGGTTCAGTTCTATAGAAGCATCAAATTCTGGAATTCTAAAGTGAATATGGCATTTCGGGTCTTGCTAGGAGTTAGGACAATCAATTAACAAGGGTACGGAGACAAAGTCTTTTTTTTATCCCCTGTTTATTTATACGGTATTGAAAAAAATTTATTGTATGTATATATAATTTTATCTCTTATTTATTATTATATTGATTTTATTTACATCAATTATAATATACATTAAATAAAGATAATAAAATTTAAGATTTTTGTTTGTTTGTAAAACATGCTGAAAATACCTTATAAACAAGAATAGAGAAGTATTGTATTGAATATCCGACGTGGACATACACGTGAGATGACATGGCTCACTCGAGTTGACCATGTAGATGGAGATCACATGTCAAGGCATTGACAAGAAACGACTACTCATCGGCCTTCCCTGATTGTTATTTAAAAGTTTTAAACACCTGTTAGATCATCACGTGCACTTCTCGTGCATGTTCTGTCCCGCTTCTCATCTTTTATTACCCTCACTCATTATCACACACAACTCCATGCACTTGCCCTCTAAAACTCAATCCTGTCATCTTAATCATTTCCTGCCATATCCTCAAAGTCACAGCTACCTCCGATCGCAGGCAGTATCGAATTTTTGGTGCATCTATATATATATTCAACAGTCTACTCCCGTGCACCCTGATCTCCACCAACACAAACTATATATCTTCTGTCACTTTAGATTGTCCAGGCGCACGAGCCCACATTGTGATTGTTCTTCATTTCTTATTAAGAAATAATGAAAACTGACTTTTCCCGTTTTCTAAAACAATCTTCTGCGTGCGAATGAGCTCCAGATCTATTTGAATGAAGAAAGAAACCAAGAAAAGCTACACTGGCTAGAACCGGTGCTCAACTTTGACTACTAATAACAAAACTGAACATCCCAAAAAGGGGAGTACAAGCTTACTGTGTATAGATAAACAAGAACAGTCATGCGCGCGCCCACACACATATATATGAATGAAGAGAAAAACTGGAAAACTCGAAGTTATAATATTTGAACTTATGAGTCTCAGCAAAAGTGGTTCGGGTTAGGAGGAGGTTGAGAAAGCTTATGCAGAGAAAGATAATTAGAGGAAGGATTGGGGGGAGAGGACATGAAGAGAGGGAGTGGTGGTGGGGTATTGTTTGAGGTTGCTCGTTGGAGGGAGTGAACCTGGGACTGCAGGAATTTGAGGTAGTGAACAGCTTCGTCTAACATAGAGGCGATGTCCATTTTAGTGCCACCTGGCACCAATCTCTGCAATATCCTTATTCTCTCGCTGATTCTTTCTCTGCGATGGCGAGCCGCCACGCTTTGAGGGTCCTTTGATATCTTGACCTTCCTCCTCTTTGGAGGCTTCACTGACTCCGGGTCTATGTGTATTGGCTGCATCGCTGCTATCCTAAATATCATCTCCCTCATGGGGTTCTTCCCTCTTTCCGTCAAGTCTTGCTCTTGCTGTTGTGGCGTAGGGTTTCCCAGCGACGATGATGTGCTTGTTGTACTTGCGAGTGACCACCAGTTAGGTTTGCCGATCGCTGGTGTAGTTCCACAGAGCTCAGGTGGCGGCACAGGCAAGCCCGTCGCTTCATAATCTTCGATGTAATGAGCTGCTGAGAACTGGGGAGGCTGCGTCGTCGAGTCCATCTGATCTTGCGGCGACGCCCATGAGAATGACCCCTTTGGCCCATCTCCAGTGCCACAGTCCATCTATATATGTATGGTTATAGCTACGAGCTGAGAGAGGTATATAAGGAATTAAAATATCAGACACAAACAAGGAGGAATCAATCAGGGGGATAGAAGTTGTTTGAGAACGCAGGCTGAAGGCTTAGCAGGCTGCTGCCCTACTGGTGAGAAAAGGAGAAACGATATGGATGCTGAAAATATCAATATAATAGTGACATTGGAACAGACTGGCTGGCCAGCTGCACCAAGTTCCTAAGGAATTGACTTTATATATATATATATATATATATATATATATAGTTGAATTGAATGTCTACTGTATATTGTGCAACAAGTGGCTTCACGTACAGTGACATGTACATTGAATAAACGCCATCGATTTATTCTATATTCTGATATATGTATGGTCACAAATGACGCTTTAATATTCTTATTCTTTGTCAAATTAAGAAGTTTAGCCTCATCTTGAGTGTTTTTAATATATGTATATGCTTCCTATTGCGGAAAGAATCTTTCTTTGGTATCAAAATGAGAACACGGGGGGTTGCGTGTCAATTATTGCGACCTCAAACAGCATTATTGTATGGTCAGGGTCTCAGGGAGGGATGCCATATACATACATATACATATATATATATATATATATGCGCCGTCGAACTTGACGGAGACGGAGTGATAGAAGATATAGATATCAGCGAATAATACGTTTAATTAATTAATCTGCCATACAAATTACCACACTACATATAAGAGGATTGAAAGGATACGAGTGGGGAGCGTGGGGGTGGTTAATCAAGTTTGCCTTGGCACCAGGGTTCTTTCTCGTGTTGTTGTTGAGGGAAGAAGACCCACGCACGTGGGAGGTGTCAGAGATGATAGCCATCCAGCGGTGGTGGATGATTCAATGCACTGTATCGTGGTTGATCATTTTGCCGCAGCTTGCAAATAATAATAAGGGTCGATTGTGATGATGATGGTGATGATCACGCCTCAAAATCATCCATTTATCTTTTCTCTGTTGACAATATTCCCCTTATGAAATAGAAACGGCTCAGCCTCCTTGTATATTGGCTTCTTATATAATTTTTGCATAATATTTTGACTAAAATAGAAAAAATCCCCTTAAATTTTGGATTAGTTGTATTTGTACATCACCTCCCTAACTTTTAAAATTTTAAATTAAAAATCTTGATATTTTATGTTTTGATTATAAACTCCCTTACTGTTAAAGTTTTCGTTAACTTTAACGAATTTTGCCATTTCACAATTTTTATCTATTTTATTATACATCACGTCAATTAAAAAAATAATATTTGACATTTGACATGAAATTTGAAATTTGAAAAAAAATTTCTAAAAACTTAAAATAAATTAACTAAATCTGAATGTCTTTTTAAAATAAAAAAGTATAAAATACTTAAAATTACACGTCAAATGATAAGTATTATTTTTTTAATTGATATGATATATAATAAAAGGTTTAAAACTTGCAACATGGCAAAAATCACTAAAGTTAACAGTAATTTTAAAGGCAGAAAAATTTATAGTCAGAACATGAAATGTTAGAATTCTTAATTTTGAAAGTTAGAGAGGTGATATGCAACTAACCCAAAGTTCAGAGAGTTTTGTGTATTTTACCCTAATATTTTTGGGCAAAGTCATTTGTATACTACCAAGTATCCTCTTCTTTCATCACAAGATTAAAAGTTTCCCATTCTTTCAATTTTAAATTGAAAACTTGTCAAGATATGCTCATTGCGTTGAGGGTTTTTAAAAATTTTTCAGCAATTCTTCTTAAATGTGAATATAAAAAAATATATGTTTAACAAAATGATTGTTGAACACAATTTTTTTGCTAGGTATTGATATCCTCTTATCATGTCAGAGGCATTGTCAAACACTAAATGTAGGCATTGCTTCTAAAAGAAATTTGAATATTGGTTTATCACTTTGTAAAGAATTAACCCTTTTTGTTATACCCAACCTTTATTGATTGGTTGAACACAATTTTTTAAATACTTTTTTTATCCAGTCAAATATTTAAATTCAGACTAGAACAAAGTTATTTGGGCTACATGATGTGGCTTTTATTGGCTTTTCTTAGTTATATTATGAGGAGTTGACCTCATAGTCTTCAACTCACTATCTCCTACCTCCCCTCATCATTATTTACTTCCAAGTGGCTAATATTTTCATTTCTCTTATACCAAAATTAAAGCACCTCTTTATATATGTGTATACTTGTGCGTTAATGCATTTAAGGGTTTGGAGATAAAAATGATTAATTATTTACAATACAATGCTTTCCCGGTTTCCCCATTAAAAATCTCGTCTCATTACCAGAAATACATTTTCAAGAAGATTTAAAAAGGGTTATATTCGAAAATAAAATATTAGTTTCAAGCTTGGGCAAGCAACTAACCAAGTGCTGGGGTACACGCTTCAACTTGGTACGAGTCATCTGTTTCCACTGGTCCCCCTGAAATACATCCAAACCTTCTTCTCATGTCGAAGTATTTGAATCCTAATTTACACACACACACACACACAGCGACAAAAAACTCAATAAATGATCGTAGCAGCACAGGATTAATTGCGTTCATGCGTATATGTTTAAAACAAATAAACAGTATAAGGGGCATTCTAGATGGAGCTATTCTATTTCTTGGGACCAACCACGATGAGTGACTCAAAACCAGCGGAAGAGAGAAATGTTGTTGGCCACTTTTTTCCTTCATCTCTGAACTCATCTACCATGTACTGTTCCATTATTATTCGTGGCAACCTTCTCTGCATTCTAATAGAGAAGAGATTTTTGGGTGCTGATGGATTCTTTTTAGTTACTCTACATTCTGTCCCACCGTCTTCACAATGATTCTGTTGTGCTTTATTGGTTTATTGATATGAAGACATGAACGGAGCATACTTTACTGAATGTTTGCCACCTTTTGAATTCGTAGAGCCAGCTTCGCCGTTGGAAAAAAACGCATGCAGGGGCGGGCTCATCAAAGCATATAATTGAAGCTGCTTTTCATTAATTTAAAGGGCAAAAAAAAGCCAATGATGTATTACAATCTGGAATGGTCCCCATCAGGTGTGTCAAACAGAGTGGCCGCATCTCTGATTACGTGTTTGTATGTGCATGATTCTTCATCTGTTCCCACTTGGGTCATCAACTCTGTGTTTAGCCAGTTGCGCAAACCATTGTACTCTCCAATAATCTCACAAACATTTTTCAAGCTCCAATGTCTGTTATTTCACTGTCACAATCCAATCTAGAGGTGGAGGAGGAGCAGGAGGAGGAAGAGGACCAAGAAGAAGGAGAAAGTGTATGACTATACTCGTTGATTAGAGAAGAAAAGAAAAGAAACTTTCTTACTGCCCCCAAAAGAAACCAAGATACTTGGATGGCAGTTGAGGATTTGAGCAGAGTTACGATATAAAGGACCAGCCCAGCAGTAAATTTTTCAAACGACACTCATTAGTCACAACACGACGTGGGGGGGTCCTGGGGGCTATATGTTGTCTTGTGTTCCTTACTGTGGTACTGTGAATTATGTATTTTACTATTTTTGTCCTTTTATTTGGGTGATTCAAGGACCGAAATAACTGAAACTACAGTACAATGATCACAAAACAAACACCATAAAGCAGGCAGCGAAAAAAAACAAAAAAATTCCTCAGCCACCATCCGGAGTGGAGTCGTACGTAAACCCGCCATTGTTCTGGGTTTTAAATTCTGCGTGTTCTGTGCTAATCCAAACAGGCTTTGTCATGGATTAGAGAGCCAGCGCAGGCCCAATGCCACACTACGATCTGAACAATTATTCTTAACTCCATAAGAAAAAAAAAAATCAGGGCCCAAGAAGACGGGGCTTGGGAGCTTCCCTGATTTTCCTCTTCCTGCTTTCCCCCAACATTTGGTCGAGTAAAGCATACGGCACATAAAAAGAAGAGAAGAACAAGAATATAGCAGTAATAATAAATGATTGAAACGTTTGGCTAAAATAATAAAATAATCGAAATCTTTTCTAACAGTTACACGAATGCGTGTGAAGAAAATATTCACAGACTAGTTTCTGAATATAATATATATATATGTGACCAGTCAATGAGGGGCGTTGCCACAAAGCAGAAAAGAAATGAAAAAGAAACGCACTTCCTAAAGCGTCTTTTACCATCCACACCCACCCGCCTTTGCTTTCACTTCTCTGGTCTTTACCAGCGAAACCCTACAATACTATACACCCAGTTTTACTCTTTCGTTCGTTCCTGTCACATACACGTGCATCGTCCTCTTCCCTGCCCACAAAGGACAAATCGTTTATACCGCTTATCCTCCGATAGCGATGTAACTTCTCTGCATTATTTACTTATTTGCATTAGTTTCCTGGTTAATCCTCCTTCGCACAGTGTTATTTTAATTGAATTTTGAAGAATCATAAGCCTACGTACACTGCTGTATATTTCAACGAGAGAGTCTTTTTGACCGCTTTATTAAGAAGCTGTGTTTGGTATACTACGGTAGGATAAAAGGTGCGTCTGAAAGCAGCAGGCCTTCCTCGTTTTAAAGTTCTCTTTTTCCTATTCTATTGTTAGTGACCAACAGTTTCTTCAGACCAACTTAATTATCCTGCCGCGCCACAAAAATGTTCCCAGCTTTACCTTATTTTAAATTTTTATGTTCGTCCTGAATTATTTGAATCTTTATTGATCGTCTCTGCTCTAGGCTCGAGAGACGCCCTAAGCACTCGCCTTCTCTCTCGCAGTGTTCTGGGTTTGTGGCATTTAATTTAATGCCCCTCATTCGTGAATGTGAACACGAACACGAATATACTGAGATTAAAATAACGAGGAGAAGGTAAAGAAAAGAAGGGTCAAACTTTTATGAGAGAGTACTTTACCCTGATAGGGATGTAGCACGACCCGACAAGGAGAAAAGACACGAGGGTTCTTGGGCAAAGGGCGCGAATTGTTCATACTTGATGCAGCGGGTAAGCCCCCACAGCTATTGTGACTTGTGAGTGATAATAATAATGGCCAGTATTAGTGTTGCAGTCTGAGAGGAAGAAGCCAAGAGAGAGACCAAGAGGAGGGAATGGAGGGAAAAAGAGTTGGAATCCAAAGAGAATTGCGAAAACGTTAATCAGATGACTACTTAAAGTAGGAAAAGGCAAAGGTTTCTGGTCCGAAGAGGAAGAAGTATAGAAGCTTTGATAGAAACATCTCAAATAACATTTTTAGCCACTTTCCTCCCACATTTCGCTTTCATCGGATTATTCGTATCCTTGTATCTTCCTTCTCTTGATTTCTAGTTTTCATTATTTTGTTCCTATCTTTCGCCTCTCTCCCTTCTCTCTGTAGTTCCCTTTGTTTTTTATGGGGGGAAGCGGCTTTTACTTTTTTACCCTACTGACGATTCATTAAATCATGAGGCAGAATTATTGTCCATGACATGGGTATGATAACCTTCTTTTCCCCATAAATCATAGTAATATACTCTCTTCTGCTGAAATGATAATATAATTATATAGGAATACTATGATGGGGAGAAAACAATGACGAGCACAATCATTCTGAGCGGAATTTTTTCTTGAGCAAGTAGACCTGATTAGCTGTCACCTACTTTATAGTATTATCACTCGTCTTTTCATGGGATTTTTGAATTGAGATGCAAAGTATTCTGTGTTGCTTGCCGGTACATTGAAGCCATTAGTGGGGGCTGGGTAGAGAAAGCCCTAGAGATTTTTTTTTTTTTTTTGCCTGAGCCAGCTAGTCTAGCCTAGCTTATTGTTCTCAGCTTTTGACCCAATGGAACTGTACGGAACTCCTCCCCCCCCAAAAAACCCACTTCCCTCTGCCGCTGGCATTTATGTAACTGAAGCATGCAGAGAGCAAACTCAGAAAAAGGGGGAGATATGAAACTGATGAAAGAAAAGATCCCAAAATCGAAAGCAATAAATTGCACCAATGGAAAGGAAGACAGTATAAGTAAAACAGAAAGAACAGTTTGAACATTAAAGTTTGGATTCATTTGACCTTCACTCAGACCACATCCACCGTCCATCAATGGGGGTTGGTTGGGCGGAGCAAAGATATAATATGGGGCACTAAGTTATATGTACACAGAATCACAAACAGCCGCAGGCACGCACACACAAGTATCCATCAATATCATCTGCCTTTGTCTGAGACTCAAAATTAAGGATGGGAAATAAATAGATTTAGAAAGGAAAGAAAATCAAACAAGTGAATCTAAAAGCAACTAACAAGTCGAAGGAGGCATGAGATTCAAGCCCAAGTCATTCTTTTCCAAAGCGAAACGAGCCTTGCTGGTGTCCGATGAATTGGAGGGATTAAAACCGTACTCAGGGTGCACCCTTTTCTTAGACTGAAGCGATACACCAAAGAGCTTGGTCTTGCAGCTGTTACTGCTGGGGTCTTCAACTATGGTTATGGAGCTCTTTGATGTGTTGGTAGGTGAGTTCACAATAGGCGGAGTTTGCTTATTGTTCATGGAATAGTACCCCAAAAGCTGGTTCAGGGGCCTTTGCACCATGGAACCAGTGGGGGTGGTGGTGGTCATAGGTGGAGAGAGCAAAGAGGAAGGGTAGGAACTGCTCGGAGGGACTGGTTTGACATGGTTCTGAACGAAGTAGATGATGTCGTTATAAAGCTTCTTCATGTGTGCGAGCTCGGACATGAGCATGTTGTTACTTCGTCTGAGCCTTTCGTTGTCCTCGGAAAGAGCGGTGAAGGAAGAGTTGTAGTTGGTGCCGTTGATGAGGGAAGAAACAGGAGCCGGAGAAGTGAGCGGCGGCGAGTCACACCAATTGTGCTGGTCGTCGGAGTCGCTGGGAGGAGAGATGCTGAGCCTGGAAGGAAAGGGAAAGAAAGAGGGGACGCCGACGCCGTGGTGGTTCTGATGATGATGAGGCTGAGCCGTTTTCCTGCGGTGGATCTCGCACAGCAAGTGCTTCTCTCCCTTCTTAAAGAATTCATTCGCGAACTCCCACCGGTCCGGCACAATCTTTCTGAAACCCTAGTTCAGTTGAAAAAAACACAAGATCAAACAGTCAATACTAAACAGAAGAAGAAGAAGAAGAAGCTCAAATATCGGGGAGAGAAGATGGCGAGATATGCATAAAGAGAAAAAGAATACATACATAGGTGTTGAGCTGGCGAACGAAGCTGGAGAAGTTGTTGTGCTTGAAGTAGTTGGGGAGGAGATCGCGGGCGAACTCGGGGGGGCGCCAAACGACGAAAGTGGTGTCGTCTTCCCCCCAGGAGACGATGTGATCGGTGGCGGGATCATCGACGAGCTGGTAGGTCTTGGTGAGGAAGGGAGCGGGCACCGACTTGTGGGAGTCAAGGGACAGCAATATGGCATCGCAATTGTCTAGCAGAAGAGCCATGTCGCTGAGCTCTCGCGACTGAGGCTGGTGGAAGTCCGTGATATATCAGAGAAAGCGGGAGAGTGAGGCGTGTGGGTACTTAAGGAGAGGGGGAGGGAGGAGAGAGAGAAGAAGGAACTGGTGTCCTCGTGTTCCTGTGTATTGCGATTTGGCAAATGCTTTGTCGCTTTATTTATTACTCTCTTCTTTCGCCCTACAGAGATATAGCCATATATATATATATATATATATATAGAAGATGAAGGTGGGGTTAGAATTGTGGGGGTATTAGGATTATAATAACAATGATGGGTAATTAAAGAGAGGCATATTTTTGATTGGCACACTCCTCGGGTATGTAGTGAGAGAGAATAAGTGTCTGTCTGTCTAGGACTGTGAAATAAGGGCCTTTCAAGACAAACCCGTGACTCTCTCTCTCTCTCTATCCCTGACATGGATCCACCCACTCAAAATATCACGCACAAGCTCAACAATTGCATTCCCCCCATTTTGCCACTTCTCTTCTTCTCCTAACTTTTTGGTTCCCTAATTCATTTTCAGAAACTTCTTTCTCTCCTGCCATCATTAAAATATCTCCGTGTTCTGTTCATAATTTCTTCAACCTAACAAATATGTAGTCTTATCTAAATACACGTACACAGGAGGACACGCAATATCTAGAGACAGATTACGTGTATAATTAAGCCCTTGTTGTTAACAAGAACACAAGGGGTAGAAGAAGTGAGAAACAAGAGATTGCTGTTAACATGGGAATGGATAAGATGAATGGGGTAGCGTAGCGTGTGATGAGAGGGAATGGGAATGAAGAGAGAGAGAGAGAGAGAGAGCATTAGAAAGGGAATTGAACGGGTCAAAGGGAGCGCAGTGTTTGATGAGAGGGCAAACAAAGGCAGGGCATCCAATTTGGAATCCGCATCCAAATTTACGCAAAACATTTTGGAGGGAGCAGACATTTTTAAGGTAAAGGCAGCATCGAACAACGTGATCCCTTACGAATTAATCACTCTCTCTGTGTCTCTGTGACGACATTTCCCTCCTTCTGCTGCTTCTTCCTTCCATGATCCTATCTGCTCCACCATCGCCTTCTTTTCCCCATTGAAAAATACGTGATTTCAAACTTCAATGTATGATCTGTGTGTGAGTGGTATGCCCTCACACATATTCTCTCTGCGCCACCCCGTACCTTTTACTCACTAGCATACAATACCTATCTCTCTAGCTTTCCCCCTTTACTTTTTACATTGAGCCTCCAACTTTGGCTCTTCCACGGCCATTCCCCTCCTGACGTGTCCAGGTGTTTGAATTATTGGCCTCAAAAGTAAACAGCCCCCCCCCTTTCTCTCCAATAAAATTCTCACACACTTTTTCACCTCCCTCTCCTCTTTCTCCTCCTTACTTTACATTGCCCATGGAGAATCAGCGAGAATGTGCATTGTTTTCCCAGGAATCATTAACACTTTGATACAATCATTCGTAAACACCGCGATATTCCCAACCTTTGAATATTTCTCCTTGTTCTTCTCTTTATGGCTTTTTTTTTTTAATTAGGGGATCAGCAGTGGGATACTGAACTGCACGCGTAACGAGTGAAAATGAAATGAGGAGGGACGGGACATGGAAGGATATGGAGGGCCAGAGCAGAGTAATAGGAAATGGATGGGTAATTATTTGGGGTAGATACTAAGTTTGATAATGTCCATGATTCTCATTATTGGAATATCAAAGTTAAAACTGTCCCGGGTCCCCCGCAATATAATGATTCCTCGCTTTTACAATTTTCTTCACTTTCTTCATATTCAATTCGATTTCTGTAATTGTAAACATTATAACTATAAAATATAATAATAGCCTGCCCAAAAGTTTTTGAAACCCCAAGCTAATTTAGCTTCCGAGAGAAGCCACGACTTTTTGAGCGCTTCCCCCTAAAAAAAAGACGTGCACTAGTGTGAACACTAATACTAATCAACGCGCGTATTATTACAGGAAGTTAAATTAAAGGAGATGGGATTATTAGGTTATATATTTGCAAAAGACCAGTTTGGTTTTATATATATGCGTGCGTGTTTCTCTTATTAGCTAGTCATTACAGTGCGCACGCAGCTATTACTAAACGTAATCCACCATTGATTGCTTATTATTTAGTATTCTGATTTAGTCAATCATCGTACTCATCCCTCAATTTCTCCAGCATTGTATTAATATGGACACAATGCTAGCTGACCCATAAACCCCCTCAACAATGTGCTCTAATTAACCCTCCGGCCTCCACTATAAGCTAATTTTGGCAAAGGATCAGGTCGTGACTATCCAATTGACGTAGCTTGTATATACTAAGATGCATATATACAAAATATAATACTTATTATATTTCCTACTTTTGGCTATATTACAAGTTTCACTAAGCGAAGGACAAACAGAGGTACATAAAATAACATCTGCATGTGATCCATCTCAAAAAGCGAGAACAAATTAAAAGTCTTCTTTTGGAAGAGGAAAAAAAAAGGATGAGGACGAAGAAATTTGAAACTTGAAGACTAGCTCTTTAGCAACAAGCCAACTATTACTCTCATTGTTAAAGCCATCATCACTATCGTCCATGCGCGTATCAATATAATTAAATTCTTTCAACTTGCCCATATAAAAATATAGCTAGAAATATAGTAACAATAATTTTTAAAGGAGTTAAAATCATTGTTAGTCGTAATAATTAATTTGATCGAATTTTGATTGTTTCCTTTGATTTTAGTCCGTATAAGGACTTAATCTAGTCCGTATATTTTTAATAAATTTTAGTTTTGTCGATGTATTTCAACTGAGACTAAGTTCTCATGAGACTATAAGAAGCAAAGCCAACTATCTGAAACTAGGGAAATAAAAATCAAAGCTGATTAAACTGCAAAAACCAACAATAATATTAATCCTCTGTAGAGTAACAATTTATGAATGAAATGAACAAGATGGGTTTGTTTGGGAGTAGTCTTGTGCTGTAGTCGTGTCTGGTGACATTTTCTTAATATGAAATAGGGTTGCTGAGTCTTAGAGCTGTACCGTGCTGCAGCACCGTGGCAGGGGCTGACATGAAACAGACATTGAGTCCTTTTTATTTCGATGCATATCTGTGCTGTGACTATTGCCACTCTCGTGATCCCTCTTTTGTTGTTTTCCCCTTATCATCATATATTTATTAACCCCACCCTATTCCCTTCTTCATGTTACATACTTATTTATGGGAACTCTTCACATTTCCCCTTTCCTTCGTATGTATATTACTTCTCCCTCAACGGCAACATTATTATTTATCAACTTCACACGCACGACAAAGTTCATCTCCATGCAACGAGCGCTTCAAAGTTGTTAAATATTAATGTTATCCACAATTGTTCCGAACTGGGTCATAGAATCGTTGTTCCAGGAATCATGGCTCCTTCGTTGCTGTGACAGACAAATGTATAATAATATCAGACCTAATTATGTGATCATCCATGGCGGAATGATAAACCTGAGATTAGGTGGGGTTCACAAGCACATGTAGAGTGAGAAGGTGGGCCCCAGCTGGGTGGTAATGGGTGAATCATGCAATATGAGATTTTTACAGTGTTTTTGAATGAGGAGAGAAGAAGGAGAAGCTGGTTTGAATGAGAATGGAGGAGGAGGAGGAGGCCCCACGAGGGGGAAGGAAATCTAGAAAACAAAGGCTGATTTTTCCCTCTCGAGTTGTCAGCAACTGAGGCGGATCCTAGCGAGCCCACCACCCTATACGGCTACAGAAATTCACCCGCCAGATGAAAACACAATGCTTTGCTCTCTCTCTCTCTCTCTACACGTTGAAGAGCCAAGAAGATTCTATTCTAATTTCTAAAACGCAGTGAAAGTGAGCCAACCCCACTTCCCATCACATGACCACCGCCGGTACCTTTCAAATAAAAATCATATTTGTTATTATTGGACAAAACTTCTCCGGGAATTTCAAGGAGCGACAACTTCGAACTCAGACCGAATACGGTTAAAAATACTCCCTCCCATAAAAACCCTTTTTTTAGTTCCTCTAATTCGCTGCTCACCAACGTTATCATTACACTGTTCCGTCTTTATGTCGTGTTCATTTCTTAATCACACTCTCTCACCCCTCGAAATAATAAGTTTGTTAATCCCACTCACAGATCACGAACTTCCCCTTTCTTTATTTCTCTTTCCAACCTTCTGAAGCAAAGGAATCAAAATCTGCATTCTATACGACAAATCAAGCTACCGAGTTTCTTTCTTCTGTCTCTTCCTGCACTCTCTTTTTTGTCTCTTTCACTGACCCATCTTCGCCTTCCATACAGTCGCACCATTAAATTTAATAATCTGTTACTCTCAAGCCCTTCCATACATGCATATATGCATGAATGTATATACATGAACGTTTAGATTTCAAAAGAGGATGGAAAAGACAGAGCGTGTCGCGCAGAACTTTGCAGATAATTAACGTGGTTCTGGAGGGTAAGACATGAGAAAGTTGTGCCAAACGAAGCTCATCAACATATAGTTTGACATATTCGTTCAATAGAATTGATAAAAGGAAGGGTCACGAGGACCTACGAATCCTGCAAAGGAAACGGCACTCTGATACATAACGTTCCAGACAATAGGTCCGTGTTTGTCTTTATTCTGGTGCACTTAATTTTATACCAAACACCCACTCCACTCACTGTCTAAATCTACAGGCTTTCTCCTGTCCTCTCTCCTCTGTTCATCTGATTGGCATGCATCTCGTTCCTTCCAGACTACATACTTCTCTGCTTCCATCACATTATTATACTGACTTCTCAGAATCTTTGACACACACTCATAAATCTGTAGAATCAACGGTTGCTTTTTCGTTTAAATTTTGAGCCATGTCATGTGTGTTATGTAATTTTTCTTCTACGAGTTTGATTCTAACTCGCCCGGTGGGGTCGATAAGAAATGGGACTAGTTCTGGTTGCTGGCGTCTTATACAGTGATTTTAGAGACAGAAACAAAAATTTTATTAATCAATTCAAAGTCACGTTCGTGCATGTACCTGTTATATATAAATACGAAACATCTACAGTTGTCATGCTGCTCAATAGATCAGTTAATAATTTCAAGACATGCATACCAGTGAAAGGAAATTTAATATGCCAAATGGTCGAAATTCTTTTGAATTCAAAACCTACTGATGTGGTTGAAACACTGTTTACAAAAAGAAATAACTCGATTTTTGTTTCTTAGCTAGTTACGCAAAATTTATCTCAGACAAAATTTTTGATCTCCAATTATTCTGAATTTAAGGAGACTTGAGTGGGGTTAGCGACAAAATAGTGAGTAGGGGTTCTTTTTCCTTATTATTTTTATTATCACAGTTATACGTGAGATTTTGGATACACACACACACACACACACATATATATATGATTCACAGCTTCAAAATGGGGAGAAGTACATTAGTTTTATCACAAGTTCATTATATTGGTTCTCTGAACTTTATTTTCTTTATATAAATTTTTATAGATTTCTTTAACAAGAAGAAATTAAAGAGATGACAAGTAAAGTTCATCGTATATCTAGTTTTATTTTGCATGTTATTTTCTATTCAAATTTTACGAGAAAGTTTTCACAAAAATTTAAAAGATACGTGTGCCTTATTTATCGCAACAAATAATATCGGATATGGACTTTTTTTATAAAAAAATGGAGTTCAAGGCATGCTTTCGGGGAATAATTCTTGTTAAATCAACCAGGGCATGCATGAGAAAAAATTGTGAAGGAATTATAAAAAGGATGTTGATTATGTATGAAAATAAAGACACATACACACACATAACAAATAGGTAGGTCATAGGGAAAGTGATCTATACCAACAAATGCAAATTAATATAGTAATGTGTACATGGAACATATGGTTTTCCATGCAAAAGTTGGATTGGCCTTAAAAAAGAGGTTGAAAAGCAGCTTCCTCTCAAAGAAAATGACTGTCTTTAACATAAAATTTTTTACTTACTTGCATGGCATATTTTTTTCAAAACAATGAAAGAAAGTTCATTTTAACATACTTTAGAGTTACATTAAAAGGAGAGAACAACAAGAGAGTCTTTCCTCCTCTATCTTTCGTTCCCTTTTTTCTTTTCTTTTCTCTCTCTTTTCCTTTCCGCTTTATTTTTTCTTTCCTCCTCACTTTCTTAAAGTCATCTATAGGACTTCTACGTGAAAAATGAAAAGAGATCCTTCCATTTACGTGACAAGAGATACTTTGCATCGTACAACAGAATGGCGAGGAATAGAATGAATATATATAGTATATTCAAAATCTCTACCATGTATCCAACTCTCTCTCTCTCTCTCTCACACACACACACCAACACGTACCATCTATCTTTTCATATATAATTAATTAAAAGAAAAGCAAAGAGAATTGTTAGATAAGCCATTTGATTTGATGCTGGGCCAAACACCTCCACTAATTAAAAACATGCTTTAGATAATCAATCAAGCACATGCGCATGCATGGCTTGCATGGCCGACCTCGCATGTCGATTAATGGGACCCAAATTATGTTTCCAGTACAATTAAGAATTAAACGTGTATCCTGATCTTGACCTCAACATGATTAAGCAAAAAAGTGAGGGTCACCGAATGTCCAAAAAAAAGACAGTGGTTAATTTGGTTTAGAAGTAGAATTAGAAGAAGAATAATAGGGAAGAAGAAAGATATAAAGATAGGTGAGGGACGGGAGGTAACGGGGAACATAAAGGCTGTTGGATCACATGCATATCACAATCTTTTTCTCTCCTTCGTCTTCCCCTTCTCTTCTTTTCATAACCGTGGCTGATACAATTCAAAGGAAAAATAAATAAAGGTGATTACTAACCAACAAAAAATAAAGATATATATAGAGAGGGGGGGCAGAGAGAGGGGGGATTAATATGGTTCCACATCCACATATTCCACAATGCAAATTCCACAGTTGAAGGTTCAGTGGTGGTACCTCCTCAATCCAAGGGATTTCATGAGATGATGAAGTGCCTTTATGGGTCCCTACCTCATCATTTCATGCGTATAGTTGAAAGACCCACTTCTCTCTCCCTCACGTTCGTCACTTTAATTTGATTGTGCATTTGCTTAAAGTGGCATTTTTCTCTTTCTGATTCCTCCCAATAATGCATCGCCCAATGTTATGAAAATGGCAAACCCTCCTCCTCGCTCTCATTGCCCTATCATCCATTCTCGGTAAATGTAAAAAAAAATAGATTCCTGAGTCGATCGGAATTGAGTTTTATTATTATTGTTCTGGGATCAGAAAAATCATTTGCTCTGTTTGATAGATCCCAACTGTCCAGTGTATGATGACTTATGTGTGTTTGTGTGTGAATACATAGCCACAATCATGTAATGATACATCCATAATTTCCACGTAATTATCCACCAAACAAGAATGCTTTTGGTTGAGTCAATCATGTCTGGGGAAAAAAGTCGTTTTTGCCAGTGATCTGATAGTGATCCAGGTCATTCAAATACAGTGAACGAAATTAATAGTTTGCCTGAAATGATGATATTACTCTCTTTTAATATTACTCTTTGGCCCTCCTTGTATGACTGACTGAGTAAAATATATATACACAGCATCATCGATTATTATTGTAGTACCAGATACTAGGTTTCACTTTTGTTTTTGTTACGACGTTGTTCAATCTTATAATGAATTAATTATGTCGAAACGACAGTTCACGGCTTCATGGCCTACAACAACCTGCACCCATGTTGTTCTCAGCAAACACAGATAGACTTAAGTCTGCAATTAGCTATCAAGTTGCAGAACTAATAATTGCACTAAAACACAATCAAGTTGATCTTTTTGAGAGAGTTTAATCTTTAGGATAAGGACAAGGGAAGGAGAAACGGATGGGAGGTGAAAGAATATGAAATAAGGTAGATATGTAGGTGGTAGGTAGGTACTCATTTATGGAAGGACCACCTCACTGTTGCCAAAGTGGAAGCAAAGAGCCTATTATGGAGCGGGGCTTCTTTGTTGTTGGCTTTATTCACAGACGAAGAAGGGGTGAAGCTGTTTTCACGTCCCACCCATAAAAGAATGGATGCGCAACAAACTTTGATATATATATATATATGCAACTCCCCGCCCATATGCTTACAAACATGTAAGACAAATCGTACCTCCAATTCAAACTTCATGTTTGTATCTTCCTTCCTATTAATTAATTAAGTAGATCGATCCCTGTGAAGATTTAACTGTCAACTAATTAGTCAATAATGATGGTGACGATGATATAAACTGATTCAGAAATAAAAAAAGAATACAAAAGGTTATACTATGGGACAATATCGAAGTGCAGTCTTAACGAAGAAATTCGATATCGTTTGAGAGCGTCGCCGGCCACCTCAAGGAACTGTATAAATTAACGTACGTACAAGTCTCGTTTTAAGAGGGAAAAAGTGACGAAGAGAAGCATAACTTTTTTCCCCCTTAGCTTAATACTCTTGCTTTGACTTTAACTATATTTTCACCTTGAGGATAAGCGGGAGAAAAGGAAAAGGCTATACTTGGGCACGTCAAAGGTTAAAAAAAAAAAAATGGTAGCATGTGTACTCCAATAGGCTGTATCATTAATTTATACAAAATATTGGACCAGGTACTGTAAAGCCACACATGTATCAAGTACTGCTACGATAGGGTAAAGAAAAGATTAGGTTTTACAAATATACTCTGACAAAAGAACAAATGTTCCATTTACGTGGGGATCAAAAGCTTGGCATCAGAGCGCAATATCCATGAAAAGCAGAAGCTGTGGGCATAAGTAGATACACGGTTCAGCTTAAAGAAGGAATAACTTTGACTGCAAAAGAGCAGAGAGATATTGGAGTCCTAAAATGAAATTCACTGAGAGACCATATGATATCAGTGGGAAAAAAGAAAGCATATATAGTGTGATACAAAGTGGAAGGAAGCAGGCCTAGAGAAGGCTGGCCACATACCCCACAAAAGAGAAAGAAGAAAAAAGAAGTGCAAAAACAGCTTTATGGGGAATAAGGATGAGAATTGCATGATTGAACTCACTCCACTGATGAGCTCTGATCTTACTCTGCTATATATACTTCCCCATCTAATTGTTACTATTTGATCCTTTTGGTACGTATACATCTACAGTTAATTTTGAATCTTTAATATTCAGAGATGATTCCTTTTACGTGAGAGTGGGGAGAGATTAGATAAAGAAGAAAAAGGGAGATTAAAGGAAGGAGAGAATGAGTGTGAAAGGACATGCATGGGCTGGATATAGCGGTGGGAGAGGTGGTGGAAATAATTATGGTAACAATAATAATAATAATCATAATAAGAATGGATTGCAAAAGATGGTTATAATGATGAGCGAAACGTATTCACTTTCCTCTTTGTCATCACTTTCTAAGGCATGATTAGAATAAAGCTCATCCATATTCAATCTTCTTCAACTCTCTCCCTTCTCACCCTCATGCATGTTTGCCAACGCTATCATTCCCCAGTAGATTCTTTTTTTTTTTTTTTAAAAGGAAGGCTTTCCAACAGTAGATTTAAATCTTGGTTCCCAGGTATTCTCAGTACTCTATGGTCCCGTTTGGTAGGGAGCATTGAAAATGAGGGATTGAGATTGGGATTGCAATTGAAAAAAATCATTAAAATAATACTTGAGTAATTGTTTGTTATATGGGATTAGACATTAAGTTTGTTATATGGGATTAGACAAACTCATAAGGTGGGATTGGAGTACCACTTCCCCCCATGGTATTCTCCAATCCCACATACATGGCTTTGGCTAATCTCATATATCAAACAATTTCTTATACTAATACTCTCTTAATAGATTTTTTCAATTATAATCTCAATCCCAATCCCTCATTTTCAATGCTCCCTACCAAACGTACCTATATGATAGAAAGAGGAACAGTTGAGTTGAGTTAGCAACCATTACTTTTATATTGAGTACCAACCAGATGTATAACTAAGCATACATATTAATTTAAATGAGATAGCCAGGAAGGAAAAAAAATCCAAATTAACATAAGCTGTATTTAATCTTTAACCAAATTCGCTTCTGTTCAACACGTACATCTTTTATGGTGGCGTAAATGTTACGATATGCAATTCTCTCAAGCGAAAAAGTCCACATATTTTGAATCGGCTCCAATATCTGGCACGGTACAGAGGCATGAATTGAAGATTTATTTATGCTTAATTTTTTGTTTTTGGCCTGAAAAAACACAAGAATATAATTTTATGCTTGATTCAAGTTAATCTATTCGTTGGGCTGAACCGCGGTTGAGAAAACAATTTGGTTGTAATATGGGCATCAAAATACTAATGGGCTACATTCTACCTTAACCATAATGACAAACTTGAGCCCATGTAATTGATTGGGCTTTCTCTTTCGGACACTTTTACTTCTGACTCCCCACTTCGATCCAAGGTCCAGAGCAAAGTTGGGTGATCAAATGAAAACAACAATAAAAAACTACCGAGGGTAGGTTGAATATATTTACATTAACATTTTAAAATTCCCAAAAAAAATCATAAATTAATAAGTTTTATCATGAGATTAAAAAGAATCGATGCTGTTCAAACTTTTCATTAAAAATATCTTAATAATATTTTTAAAATTTAAAATTATTTCCTGTAAATACCTTTAGTTAGAATTATAAATTGTTTTCTTATTAAATTGGGCGACGCCTGAGGGTTAAGGACATGGGCTCAAGGCAGGCGACAAACGTAGTCAAACACCTTCGAGTTTAACAATTAAATTGTCATGAAAATCTTGGATCCACAAACAGGTATTAGTTGGTGCAGTCAACAATAATATGACTCATCATCCTTGGATGAGATCAATATTAAAGTGCTAAGAGAATTGTCATGAAATAAGTAAGAAGTACTCCTCCGGTCTAATTATAGACCCAACTTATTTGAGGAGATTAAGGAAGTAAGTTAAGTTGGTTATTTATAATAATAAGTGTTGTCATTCCTAAAATATCCTTGCTAATTAAGTATATTGGCTAAAACTATCATTATTAGAAGATTATCTTGGGAAAAAATGCATAAATATAAGAGACAAAATGGATTGGGTCTTATAATTAGGACCAAATAAAAAGTCAAATTGGGTCTTATAATAAGGACCGAAGGAGTATAATTTCTTAAAAGTTTCAATAATAACATAGTAGTTTGCAATAACAAATTCCAAAATAGTAAAATACAACTATTCACCTGTTATTAAGACTTAATGACTTGACATTCAATTTAGTCTTAAACATAACATTTCAATCTACTTTGTCTCTAATCTTTATCTATTTTGTCTTCAAATAATCTTTATAATAGTTACATATGTTAAAGAGTTATATGTATGATTAATTCAAATACACATGATTAATAATTGTACTTAGAAAAATATCTATTTATTACAAATAACTAATTTATTTAATTTTCTCAAATTAGTTAGCTAAATTTTGTGTTAAGGATCAAAAATAGTATTTATTGAAGTGAGAAATAATAAATCCCACCTCCACAATAACTTCAAGAAATACTATCCCTAGTTCTTAATATAAAAACTAGTTTACTAATTTGAGTAGATTAAAAAAAAAGTTAAATTAGTTATTTATAATAAATACGTATTATCTCCCCTAAAACACTATTACTGTCATGTGTATAAGTTAAAATTATCATTTAATTTTTTTTACAAAAAAATTATTATTTAATATGTGCAATTACTATAAAAACTATTTTGAAAAAAATAAATAAATATAAAAACAAAATGAATTAAAATTTTATATTTAGGATTAAAATTAATATTAAAATAATTTTTATATTGAGAGTAGAAGTAATAATTGTTTTGCTGTCTTGCTATTGAAATTCTTTAGCTCCTTTCCAAGAATTAAAAAGTGAGCATTGTCCGCACAATACAGATTTTGCAGAGGCTACAACAAGGCAAGAGAAATATCTTACAAGATGTCACGCGCACAAGGCGCAATTAGAGCAGCGTGCTTAGGATTACAAGCATAGTAAAACAATAATCAGTAACAACACATAGGGCGTACTTTTTTTGATATAAAATTAGGAATTTCGGATGCAGATATGCAATTACATGTAGACCTCCATGCCCATAAATTTAGATGATTGACAGAGAGGACAAAAACTAAGCCTACTTTCACAATCTTTGCAGAGGCAGAGATGCTTGCATGGTAATAGAAGCATGCTCACTTCATTCACTCTACACGCCTTGCATTTCATCATCTCGTTGTTGTCCTTTGACAGCAGCTGAAAATCAATGGATCCGCCATGGCAGTACGAAGCTGTATCATCAACCTCACTGTCTCCACATCCTTCTTTACCATCTCTGCTTTGAAGCTGCACTTGTTGAAGACTATACTTGAGAGAAGCAACCATGTTCTCGTTGTATTTGGATCGCTGTTGCCACGCGCCTACTTCGAATCTCAACTGCTCCGTGCGCTCCTCCAGTTCTTTGTTCCTCTTATTCATGACTTCCACCTTGGCTTCTCCCTCCCTAATTTTGTCAAGTACTTTTCCTTCAACAATTGATATACTCTCAAGTTGCGTTGCCTCAACCTTCTCTAGTATACTTTGCCGCATTTGCTCACCCTATTGCAATGCACAGAAATTTCATTAGACCTGTCTTTTTACACACAGTTCTCTACTCCTACAAGGATGCCAATGAATCTCAGGGCAGCAGGGCAAGGCAATTGATACAAAGTTGCTTGATCAAATTTCTGAGGACTCACGCAATTCTCATATAACTGATTTCATGATTGCTAGCCTGAAAGTAATAGATGAGGAAAGGGAACTATACTCACAAGTACTCAAGTTAGAAATCCAGAATCCTACATGCGCTAGAGATACTAGCTATATATATCACAAATACGCATCACTTTCTTCTTGCAGCCAAATGAATACCTCACTAATTATGCGACTTTCTAGAGGCCGTTGTGGGGGCACTAAATTATTGTTGCACTAGCGGGATGTTTAAATGAGACTTTCTAGAGAAAATTCACCATCCTTCCGAGTTTCAACCAAAGTGATAAACCACAAAAATGAGAAGAGGAGTAAGGTCTTGCATGTAAATTAATAGAGCCCATATCAAAGATCTTGATGCCCAGCCATGTGTTAGACATTTGGTTAAACCTCTGACATGTAAAACTAGACGGTGTTTACCATGAGCATCAAACCAAATATCAAGCATGTATAGACACATTTACAAACTCAGTAAAACTGATAAACTCATTTTAAAGGGAAACACACAAGAACTCACCAAGAAATTATAGCACTTCTATTTACCTTCTTTTTAGTCAGAACATACATTGGGAACAACCCAGCAGATACCGAAATATAAGTATCTCAGGGTATTCACAGATAGTATGGTATGTAGGCGGTGGCCACAAAAAAGTATGCAGCAATGATGGACTTTTAACTGGAGATTCTGACCTTATAAAACAAGCAAAGATGAAAAGGCAAGCTAAACAACCATAAATTGTACTAACCTGCACTTTGAGAAACCTATCAATCTCCACATCCTGTTGCTGCAACTCCTGATCAATGTCGTCACCAACAAGTGACAATAAAGCCGAGTCTCCCGTGGAAGCCAAGCGGGCATTATCAAATGACAAGCCCAATCCAGTGGAAACAGATGGTGGCTGCAGAAAATCTACCGAAGAAATCTGAGAATTGTTCTCGAGAAAGTCCTGTTCTTTTAGTCTTTTCCTCTCGGGTTCCAAATCGTAATTCCATTGCACATCAGCTCCCCCGTCGCTGCCGTCAGCAGCAGGGACTGGTCCCGGTGCGAACCCAGCAACGTGAACTAAACGAGCACAAGAAACCCATTAATTAAGGCAAAAATTCAACATATGAACCAAAAATGATGTAGCAATGAACAATTGGGGATGACGGGACGCGAGAAAGTCGAAGAATCAAAAGAACAGCATTCTGAACTTGCAGTTCAATTGCTCAAGTTGCAACGAGTGTTATGAAACCTAGTCGTGCTCGTTTCTTAATTTCTTTCTTTTCAAGGCAACGCGTATGCATGCGATGGTTCTTCCATCAGGCCGAGAAGCATATAAAACAAATCAAACAAAGGATTAAAATAAAAATGGAAAGCCAAAGATGAATACTTTACATACAAGGAGGAACATAAGGAGGATGCTGGGGATGGGACCGATCTTGCATCTGAGCGGGGTTGTAGTAAGCGACCGGCCGCGACATCTGACCATCGAATGTTTGCAAATTTCTGGTGAAAGGTTAGGGGGAACAATTAGAAACGAGACAGAATAGGAACCCAAAATAGGAAAAAGTGAAGTAAAAGAGTGGAAGATGGGGAATTGCTTTGTGTATCGGGTAAAAAAAAAGGGACAGGGAATTGCCTTGTTTAGCAGCTTCAATTACCTGAAAGATTGCAACTGGTTGGAGCGAGCCATGGATGTGCAGAGAGGGAAGGAGGAGCCCCTCCCCTTGGAAAGACGAGTTGCCCCCGGGGGATAAATTCTTTCGGAACTATCTTCTAGCTGTCCCCGCTACTTTCACAAATCGTCCAAATAAGCACATACGCATAAAAATAAGATATCCTCCCCGGATTCACAGAAAACACGCAGAATGATCTAAATCAAACTGGCGAATCTAGCCCTCCTGGTTCATACTAATGCTTGATGCCTACGTGGAGGCTTGAAGTTCGATTGCTGATGCTGGAATTGTGTTTTTTTTCCCCCAAAAGATCTAAATGGAATATGCGAGAGAATGGGATAAAGAAATTGTTGAAGTTGAGCTTTAACAAATTTACACTTTTTCATAATAAATTTACAAAATAAAATGAAACCAAATTCAAACTTGATGGGTGATACTAACGAGCAAGGGATGAAAGTTAGATACCCCACTCATAGCCCATGGCCAATTTATGTGTTCATGTTTGCGTTTGTGTTCCCATCGCAAGCATATTGTGAAGTTTGGTACTTCCGGGCGACGGACACCGGTATATTTGGTTGGACGAAGGCTGGAATTATTGCTCGCCAGCAATGAAGCCGAATGGAACAAGTGACTGTGCACTAAATTCGTTAGATCTGAGCCATTTATTTAATTTATTTAAAATAAAATAAAGATACTCTCTTAACTATTTTTTAAAGCATAATTTTTATTTAAAAACAATTAATTAAAAAATAAAATCTGAATAATCCTAATGAGGACTGAAAGTCTGAAACTGTTCTAAGCTGAATTAGCAATAGAAGCCACTCTGTGCCGCACGCATCTTCTTTTGCTGGCGCGTGTTCGGTGAAAATCGAGGCCGATTCCACTCCTCCTCCCTTTATACTTCCCAATCGAACAAGATCATTGAATCTGTCCGAGCAAGGCCACCCTTGAACATTTTCCATGACCACCATTTAGTTGCCAAATCGGATCTTTATTTGAATATTTTTGGGGCCGGAGATAATATTTGAACTTAAAGTGCAGCCTTTTCTTATTTCAGGGGTCAAAATATTGATTGGATTAAAGTGGAGTCCCGTTGACCATTCGCACCACCAAATCTGAAAGATTATCACGCTCTCCAAGCCTATCGTATTATTCATATTTTGTTTCATAAAAAACTTAAAAATAAACAAAACGTGAAAAGAGAAGGGAAAATATATGTGGATTGGAAGAATAACAAAATAACACTCCTCCGGTCCTTAATATAAGACCCAATTCTTGAGTTGGTTTTGGTCCTAAATATAAGACCCATTTCTTATATTTATCAATTTTCTCTAAACTATCCCTATGGATACTCTCTCAACCATAATCAAATAAAAGAGGGAGATTGATATTAAGAAAGATGATTATAGTGTTTTAGGAAAAATGTGTCACTTTTTTTATAATTAACTAACTAACCTAACTTTCTTAATCTTATCAAATTAGTTAAATAGGTCTTATATTAAAGACCAGAGGAGTACTAATTTATTTAATTGAACTACTAATTTTATCTCTCACAAAATAGATGGCAGAGAAATGAGAATTGTGGCCATATGACTTGCATCCCATTAATAGTTTTTCACGATTATACTGGGGCAGAGAATTAGGCCTATTTCATATCATTCGGGGTCATATCCAATCTTGCTTTTTTAACCGGGCCCATTCACGTGAGACTGAGAGGCGGCGAACATTGTTCTCAACTAGGTAAGAAACGGTTCATACATAATCCTAGTCCCATCCTCACAGGCTTTGCCTCCTATTATACCGCTTTTAAAGCGGCGCTTTAAAAAAAAAAATCACAGGACATCCATGGATGGATCTTTTACTTTTAAGATTTTTTTCCCCTGGGAAATTGGGCTGCACGTTAAAGGTATAAGGCGGTTTACTTGGGAGTTTGGAAGAAATATAGCACTGTTTATTATCCTGGAATGGATTGCGCGCCAAGCACGCAAGCAAATTTCGATCCCCCAGTTCCAAGCATAGGTTAGAATTGTGGGCACTTAAACACCTCTCATCGAAATCTATCACTTAACCCTTTATTAGTACTCTGCTAGCTTAGCCTAACCTCCCTTCCTAATCGCACGTAATTAACAAGCGTACACTGTTCTAGAAATTCAACAGCTGGAATCGCTTTTCCTTGGGCAGCACACTTTTCCAACTCTTTTTTTTTTTTTTTAAATATATGAACTACTTGGCTGAAGGGTAAACATATCATTATTCCATTATTACGCAATCAGCATTGACAAAAGCACAAAAGCACAAAAGCCATAATGAAGCGTCCTGATAACGCTGAGATTGAATAAATTATTTCTTTCTTTCACATTGACATTACACAAACTCAAATCCAGCGGAGTCCTCCTCCTCATGTTTGCCACTCATAGAATATCCTCATCTTTGCCGCATTCGTGTTAAAACCCAAAAATAAAAAAACAACAACAAAACCAAAAAGTCGAGAAACGTGTTCGCATCCTGGCCTAATGTTAGGCTGGATCCTCATTTCTTCTGATTCCCTGCTCAACCAAAGAACCGACAAAAGAAAGAGGTTTCGTGATTCCCGGGCTGCTTTCTGATTCGGCATCAATCGTATGTGCAGGATTTCTTGAGGGACACCGGCCTATTCATCTTCTTGGGATCCAAAGTTATGTAACACGCAATCTTCTTGTAGAATTTGGGCTTCACCAACTTCCCGAGCACGTAGGCCCTCGATCGAACCACGAAGTTCAATCTCAACTGTACTGGTACCGTGGGCACGCCCGTTGAGCTGCTCAGGCTCGCACCACTCCCATACAGAGGAATCTTGTTCCCCATCACTACCACGCTCATCGTCCTTTGACTTTTTCTCGACTGATAAAACTTATGCATCTGCAATATCCCTCATGGTAAACTGGGTCAGAAAAGAGAAGGTGATTATGGGTCACACGCTAATAAAGCAATGACTCTGGGATGGGTTCTTACAATCCCGGAAGCGATCCGGATTTCCGAATAGGATAAATCCAGAGGCGTTGATGTGACGTGGACCCCAAAAAAGGTGCCGGTGTTGCGATACTTGAATTTGACGGTGGAGTTCATGGTGATCATATCGGTGGCAACGCCTGTGGAATCGGAACCTGCCTGAACCCTGACGTGATCGAATTTGATGCTCTGCAAAACGGATAAGCGAACGAACGAACGAATTAGCCCAATTCAGGAAAGAGGAAGTGGGAAATGAGAAAGGGGGAGGGGAGAGGAACCTTCATGGTGATTTTGGGCTTCATAGGCTTGCTGGCACCCCAGAGAACCAGAGCGAAGAAAGAGAAGAGAAGGACGAAGCCGAGAATGAAAGCGAGATAGTAACAGCGACGGGGAAGAGCGTTGTTGTGATGGTCTTCAATGTCAAGAAGGCCTTCTTCCTCGATGGCGTGGGGTTCCTTCCAGGGCTTGAGAGACTTACGAGGGATCTTGCGGGATCCGGAGAACCTGCTGGAGGAAGATTGGCGGGAGTGACGATCAAGGGAGGAGTGGGAATGAGGGGGAGATCCCATGGGACTGAGCACAGGCGTGGAATGAAAAGAGTTGGTGGTCTTCTCGCCATCGTGGGAGTCCCTTGAAGGGCTCTGCACGTAGTAAACAGGCCGACGAGGGGATCTAGTCGGAGACGAAGCGGACAGGCTCGTCGCCTCCGAGTCTGTCTTGGCGTGCATTATATTCTTCAATCACCTCACCACAGCTTGTTCCTCTTCACCTTTCCGGAACAGATGAAGCCGCCCGCACTGACACTAGTGGGGCAACGAGTCCAACTGCAAATAGAAAATGGAAAACGCAGTGCGCTTATTATTTCTTAATGAGAAAGAGAGCCATTATACTTTACCAAAACGACACGACACAGACACATGGGGTACATCATGGAACAGAGGGCGGGGTGGCCCAAAAAAAAAAAAAACTAGTAAGACAGAAAATGGGAAAACGGTGACGTCTGGGGGATTGCCAATGGGGGAGCAGTTGAAGGAAGAAACAAGGAAGCCAATGCGCATCACCGACAGTCAAATTACAGTTGTCACTGAACCCAAAAACCAATCTAATGGTTGCTGTTGTGAATACCAAACCCCTTGAATATACAGCAAGCAGTGGGACACAAACACGTGTACAATGCCATGTGCTCTGCCATTAATTTTAACGAGATTGTGTTTACCACAAAGTTGCTGCCTGCTGAATTGACCTTGCTTGATCTTGATCTGATGGGCGCCATTTTTAATTCGAGGAGCTGATTACGCCGATGCCGTGCCGTGTGTCCCATTGTAAGAGACGATAGTGTTGAATTGGGTATGTTGGTCTGAATCAGACCCCATGGTGACAATTTTAAACAACGCACATATTTGTCAATTACTAAGTTTTTTTTTATAAATAAATTGTGGCCAAAGTCAATTACGAAGTTACTGGGGCTGGCAATGCACGCAAAACAAGGTTAGCCCGCTGTGAGCCAATACTCATAGCCTCACCAGCTATTTCTTGCTTTTCCTTCATTTTGATTTGTTAAAGTTTTAATCTCCATAAGAAAACTTCTATTGAATTTGATGGAGTAAAAGAACAAAAATAACGTTAGTTGTTGTGATTCAGGCGGCTACACATTCCAATTGACATGGAGGATATATTCAAATAAATATTCAATGTAGTCGGCCAGACGAAAGTATCGCCCCACGTCATAATCTCATCGCCAAGCACCATGTTGTTTGTTTTGGGCAGAGCCCGTTCAGTTTGGGAGGTAGATTTGATGGGCTAATTTTGTTGACCCACTTCTTTTTGGGCTGTTTTACATAACAAAGCCCGCCCTTTTCATTGAACTGAACAGACTAGCCATTTTTTTCAAAAAAGGAGATTTGGCCCAATTGATGGCTCTAATCATGACATCCAGTTCTGTGTGGCGTCTTCGATAATGGAGAGTCCAACTGCACTACAAATGGATTTGAAAAAAAACAATTTTTTTCCCACAACTACTTTTCTACTCGACATGACATCTCAACGCACGGAGTCGTGGGACATTTTTATAGGGTTCTTCTCGCATATTTTTTTTAATTACTAGATTCTACACTTTAAAAATTAAAAATTAAACTATTTTTTAACAAATAAGATACCAAAATGTCACTAATTTTATGTAGAATTTAATGCTGAAAAGAATCACAAAAGAAAAAAATATCTGGGAAGAGCTCCACAGTTAAAGGGCAGCAAGGAGCAGCACCCAAGAGGTAGCAGGGGTTGCTGACGCCCCATCTCGAGTCATGCTGCAAAACAGGCTGTGGAATTACAATCCCCCTTGTCTTAATATTTTTTAGTATTTTTCATCGCGCATATACCAAAACAAAAATTTGGAATCTTACGAATCAACATACATAACAAGCTACGACTTTGAATTGTACATTGAGTGGCTTGTATATGTTACGTATGAAAATAAAGAATTTAAGCAGTAGATCGACCAAAAGCCACATGTTCACAGACAGAAATTAGCATATATTTTTTCCAAGTAAAAATAAGGAAGATTGTATTATGCTCTCAGCTGAAGTTTAGGGACGAGCACTCGATATTTGAACTCGGCCACCCTATCATGAACGATAAGCAAACAGTTGATACTGAAAATCATTGGCCGTAGCCTTCGCAAGAACCATTTCTTGAAATACAAGAGTTTTCCCGGTTGTTCCCGTGCAGTGACAGAGCCTTGCGATGCATGCATGGGATTTCCTTGCTGTAAGAGCCTTCAATTTTTTCTATGCTTTGGGCTGCCAACTAATAAAAAGCAACTCTGGGGAAATGGGTACTGCTACTTGTTGACCACTGACCTGCTCCAAGAATCCCTAAAACACACGACTTGGACTGGAAAAGAAGTATTTTATTGAATAACAACTGAGAAAAGAATTACACCTGGGCCAACAACGGACCCAATATTTATATACAATGCGCAGCTCTATGACCCTAAACTAAAGGGCTCACAAGAATGGGCCACTAATGGGCTTACAGAAACGAAATACAACAAGCACCCAACAATTACAAATAAACTCATTCAAATATTTCTAACACTACTCCTCATTACTAATCTAAGAAGAGAGCATTATTGGTGGCTCACATTAGAATGGAGGGGGAAAAAAGTTCACTACTCCTTACATTATAATTAAAGAAATGCCGGGCCATATATATACATATATAGTGTCAAGTGTCTACACTTGCCCCTTTCTCTTCCCAATTAAACATATATATAAATAAGATGCAAACGATACAATGGTCTCGTAAATGATGGGTGCTTTATAACCCCATATTCATGTAAAGCCAGGATGCATGTGTCTTGTTCATAGATCCTGATGCTCTCATGCATCATATTCTTCGTCTTTTCTACGTTTATTTGCTCAACTTTTCGACCTTCCATGCTGCTCCTCGCTTCTCACTTCATCCGTGCATGCATTCTGCTGTTCCAATTTCACTTTTGCCTAGCTATCAGTAATGATTCTCTAAAACCCGCTTGTTATGTTTGCCCCTTTAATGACCTCGTGGGTCAAAATAAACGAGTTAAATCAAAACTCAAGCCCGTTGGAAGTGACATTTTCTTTTGGCCAATTGTTAAAAGTGACGTTAAAATATCCTCTTCACGAGTAGAATATAATCACGAACAGAATCGAGTGAATTAATTTTATATATATTCTTATATTTTGTCTCATTTCTCTTTTATTCGGGAGATCTGTATAACTGTAAATACGATCATATATGGTTGATTGAATTAAGACTTACACACACACACGCATATATATGTTATATTCTATGAATTCACGCGCAGGACTAAATAATATTAGCACTAGTATCGCAATGATATTATTATTCATAACACACGCTAACTGATTTATACTTTTTACAAAAAAGCAGTTTTTTTAGGTGGGTGACATTCTCGGTTTTGAGCTGAGACTTGTGATCAGAATAGGGCTCCGAACCGAGTGCGACTCGTCTGACCAAACAAGCTGACCAAAAGCTACCTTGGCCTTCATGACTTCAGGGCCTTCTATTATCAGCTTGTAGCTTAATTTATCATTCTTCTTTGCAAAGACCAAGAAGTCGGGGATGATGCTGACATTAAACCCTTCTACGGGTGTTATCGAATTTTGGTAGACAGCAGGTCCCTCTCCAACGTTGGTGACAGTTCTGTGAAATTCTCTGACCGTCGAGGCCGAAGAATCGTTGGAATTGAAGAATGCAATAAAAGAGGGGTAGTTCAGGTCCAAGGAAGGGCTGGAACAATTAAAAGAAGAGGATCTGGTGATGGCCTTGATGTTCTGTTTAGTGTAGTTTAGCCCACACAGAAGATTCACATAATCTTCAGTTCCTGCGTCGTAAACGAGACCAGGGTCGAGTGCTTTATTGGGGCTGATATGGCCTGCTCCCATGGCCAAGGGAGAGGCTGCCTTGAATCCGTTCCCAACGTCTCTGATTAATCCCAGGCTGTTGTCGACCAAGTCCGATGATGTCATTATGGCAGATCGAATGGCGGCGGGGCTCCAATCAGGATGTGCTCCCTTTATGAGAGCTGCCACTCCCGCCACATGCGGGCACGCCATGGATGTTCCTGTCGCCAAGTTGAATTTGCTGGACAAGCTCTGGGACTTCACTCTAGCTACCGGGACATTTGTAGGCCATGCGGCTAAGATTGAGGTTCCAGGAGCTGTGACATCAGGCTTTAGGAGGTAAGGGCAGTTTTGGGATGGCCCTCTTGAGCTGTAACTGTCCACACTCGGTGCTCGTGTCTTACCCACAGTTGTGATCTTGAAAGACAGCCGGCTTACTTTCGGCGACTTACTATTGTTGATATAGTCCTTCAAAATTTCTCCATTTTCTGGACTCACGGAGATTGTCGGGACATTGCTGTACTGTAGGACGAGTATTGCGTCTGTGCTATTTGTTATGAAGACACCCCCCAACACTTCTGCTTTTTCTAGATTCATGATTTGATCGAACAGGTACCTATTCTGATAAGTGTCTTCACATACAACTATGCTGCTCCTCACTTTGATAAGTTTCTTCAAATTGTCACAATGTCCCATAAAAACCAGTGGGAGCTGGGTTGCGGAGAAGTTCCCTACGTAGAGGGACAAGCCAGTGACTGAAACTTGATTGCCAAGAGTTAGAACGCCATGAAATTCACGGTCCAGAGTGGAAGCAGCCACAGTTGTGACCCATGGCGTTCCGTTGTGCAAAGTTCGAAGACTCGGTCCTTCGTTCCCGGCTGATGCAGACACAAAAACGCCCTTCTCCGTGGCCGCAAATGCAGCTATGGCGACGGGGTCTTCGTACATTGGTTTCTCATTGAAGCCAAACGACAGGGAAAGAACATCTACCCCATCTGCCACGGCACTATCCATAGCGGCTATTATATCAGATTCGAGGGTTCCCTCTTCCCAAAAGGCTTTGTACATAGCCACTCGAGCCCGCTGAGCCATGCCTGTCATCGAACCAGCGGCATAGCCAAAGTAAGATGCATCCTTAACTTCCCTGCCAGCCGCGGTGCTTGAGGTGTGAGTTCCGTGACCTTCAGTATCACGAGCCGAATTCATGGATATTGTCACGTTGGGATGCTGGGCCCGTAGCCCTTTGTTGAAGAAACGAGCTCCGATGAGTTTTTTGTTGCACATGGACGGATCGAACTGGGTTCCATTCTCACACTTGCCTTTCCATCTTGAGGGTATGTCGGACATGCCTTTATCCAAAAAGCTTTGAGATTCCGGCCAGACCCCAGAGTCCACCAAGCCAACGATGATATCTTTACCATAGTCGGACGCAGGCCAGGCGCCGGAGAGCGGGTTGAGGCGAAGGAACCGGGGGGAATGAGTGGTGTCAAGTTTGACGGGCGATTCGGGGTAGGAAGAAACATAACCGGGGGAGTTTTTCAGGGCCCGAAGCTCAGAAGGGGACAACCTCGCACTAAAGCCATTCATGACATGGGAATAGCTATAGATGAGCTTTGAAGAAGGAGAAGTAGAGTCGGAAACAGCAGAGGCAAGTGTGGCCAGGTACCAGTCATGATGGGTGGAGAAGGCTTCGGGCATGGCCGATAAGTCCATATGGACGATATAATTCTCCGACGACGACTGAGCCAGCGATCCCCCCAAGTACGACAATATGGTGGTACAAAACATGCACAGATGCAGACCTGCACGCGAAGTCATGGCTAATCGAGTAGCTCTGAATTATCTGAACACTCAAGTGCGTGCTGAATCAATATGGGGAGTCGTGTATATATATAGTGGGTGTGGGTGAGTGAAGCCCAAAGCAGTCCTTGCTGGCCACACATGTTTTACAGTGTGTGTGTGTGTGTGTGTGTGTGTGTGTGGGTCCATATAATTACTTATTGGAGGTATAATTTAGGAAAAAGAGAGTAATACACATAATCAGGAGGTGCTCTTAAAATAGGATTAGCATGGTTGATTGAAGCAAATGAGGAAAAGGTCACGAACACAGCACCGCAAGTAATGACAGAATGACAGCTGAGAATGGCAAAAGATGAGGCTAAAGAAGGAGGGAGAGCATGAGAAGTGAGACTGAAATGGCAGAGCAACGGCCGGGAAAGGAGGAGCAAAATGGGGTGATTTCACGTTTTAAAATGATAATCACGACAAAACTGGACCGTAACCTTGCCCACTTGCTCCCTATGCGTTACGACGTTCTGTTTCTTTCGAGGTGGTAAGATTTATCATGTGCCTTCCTTCTATGGTTCTACCTGAATTATGTGCATCTTTCTCTTTTATGCCTTTTTGCTTCAAAATATGCACTTATATCCTTTGTGAACCATCTTTCACGTTATCATCTAAATAAGTAAATATCCCTGTTCTTCTTTAGCTGCAGAGATCCGTAGGTAGTTTTTTTATTTTTTTTAAACAAAATGTAATACTTCCCGAATCCTTAATATAAGACATATTTAACTAATTTGATTAATTTAAAAAGTTAGGCAAGTTAGTTAATTATAAAAATATGACATGTTTTTCCTAAAATATCATAATCATCTTTTTTAATATTCTCTCTCCCTCACTTACTTGATTATGGTTGAGAGAGTATTAAGAGGGGTAATTTAGAAAAAAAATAATAAATATGATAAACAGGTACAAAAATTGACTTAACATTAAGTCTTATATTAAAGACCGGAGGAGTAGTATAATTTATCGTTTACGAATAAAATTATACGCTTCTCACGTCTTAATTATAGAAAGCACACTTATGTTTTGATTTGATAACATAGCCATGAATAAGATAATGTAAGAAGTTAATCATACATACAATTTATATTCACGGTTGATTCTTATTTTTCTCCTCGTTCTTGATATGAACTCATTTGAGATGAACTAAGCGAAGAAATCAAACCCGTCACGGAAATGATCACCCTCACTTGCCATAAGTTACAAAAAGTTTTGTGAAATTCATAATAAAAGGCCCCGAGGCTTAGGGGTGTTTAGAAACGCTGAAAATAATAAGAAAAACTGCTCACAAGAGCCTCCAATTTTTAAAATAATCGATCGAGTACTGAATTCAGAAGTGGCGATTTTAAACTTTTCTACGGCAAGTATTTCAAGATGTTAAATTGAGGAGCCATCTTGAAATTGAGTGTAGACTTTCGTTAGTGACACTTCCTAGATATCCCGTGAGAATGAAATCTGAGGTGAGGTGTTGATTGAGTCAGAGATCCTTCGTTGCCGTACAAATTTCATGTGGGCCAGTACCCTGGGCCCTGCCATGCTCTTCGCCGTCTCTCTTAATTGTCTTGGGCTCCTGGCCTTCTATTTCTTTGGATGGTTACGTGATTTGTTGTGCCTTGGGGCGAGTTATAGGTTGGTTTTGTCTTCCCCCGTAAAAAAACCAGTAGTGCGTGACAAGCGAGGCCTATCTAGTATTGGGCTCTTATAGGGGAACGAAATATCTATAAATCTCAGCCAAGCAATGCTAGTTCCGACTAAAGGCGTGTTTGGATTAGTGGTTGAGAAGTAATTTTTTTTTCAATTTGACTTTTACAGAAGTCAGATTGGAGAAAAGCAGCTTTTTTGAGCTTATTATATAAGTCTGTTTTAGTGACAGAAGTCAGATAGCCCCACCGCAGATCCAAACATGTAAAACCACAGTCACCTTAAAAGCCAGACTGGGACGCACATTTGAGGGTCCAAACGTGGTCCCAAACGGACCCTAAGTCTCTGGCTATGTAATAAATTAAAGTTTGACTTCTCACTAAGAGAGGTATTTATAATTAGTACCTGATAATGTCTCAAATTTTAAAAAATAGAGGTAAATAAATCAATTTCGGGGAATAAAATTCACTTGTTGCTTCAAATTACTTGTATGAGCTCACAGAAAATGCAGTGCAGCCAAGTACACGTTCACCAGTTCTTCCCTAGATCCACAATATTCCACCACGCTTGCCAACAAAAATCCATACAATAGACATGACCGGATTCTCTGCTCTGCTCATTTTTTTCATTCTCTTATCCTAATTCAGACTGTCTGATTTATAGTTAATGATCCAAATCTAACTTTTCCTTTTACAAGTCGGAAAAGATTTTTTTTTTCAACCTGTTAGTAATTTTTTTACGAAACATCTAGTCTAAACCGCTCTGTCCATATCTACAGTGGGGAACGGAGAAGATTTGTGGTATAGCAGAGTGAACTACTCAAAAAAAAAAAAAAGTGGTCCTGAATTAATTTGAGAACATAATAAAATAATCACAATGACGATTAAAATTTGAAAACAGAGAGAGCCGATCCAAGTGCTAGTTGTCCCCAATTGCTGCTATGCGCGGACAAATTCTTTGTTGGCTAGGGATAACTCTGAAGTCCCTACCCCCCATAAATTCCAGCACAGCATAGCTTGATAAAATGAACAGAAACAAATGGGGACCCCCAAATATAGGCAAGAAAAATAATGCATGGCATGTCAATATTTAATTGGCTGCGTATATGGCAGAAATCATTTTCACTGAAGTCGAACGCTTTGTAAGATTGGGATGGAATATTTAATCTAACCAAATCGTCTGTTTAAATTCCAAAGGGGCATCATTTCAACCTCCTGCTTGGGGCTCCCATTATGCTATTGGTCATTCTTTCCAAGTTTCCAACAGTCAAGTTGTTCTTCTCCCTAACTCAATGATCACTTGGTCACATTGGTCGTTCTTTGGTTCCTCATATTTCAGGTCAATTATCGCCATTGGTTCAGTGAACATCTGGTTAGTCTTTTTGTTTGTCCTGAAGAACATTTTGTTGGGCTTATTGTTTCCTTATGGCATTTTTTTTTTAATGACAAATCAGCAAGGTCACATCATCCACTATGGACTTTGTCCTCAGGAACTGTTGCAAAAACTTATGAACCACGAATGTGAGTCCATCCAAAACCTATTAGGAATAGCTTCCAATGCCTGTGAATGCCAAAACAAATGGCCTGTAACTTGACCAGTTGATTGAGAAAATCTTGAACCATGTACCTACTTTTTCCCAAATATTTTAAATATTCCCCCAGCCACCAGCAATGATTCTTTTGCAGAAATAAAAATTGCATTCCATGAGCCACTGGTTTAGGATTATTTTTTTTGGGTTTACCAATAACAGAAAAAGAAATTTTTGTTGTCGAGCCACAGTACAGCAATGCTTTTTCTTGCCATTTCCAATCGCAGTCTGAGGTTATTCCTTGCTATAATTATTAATAATTATTCCTTTCTTCATTATTAATTATCTTTTGCTTTCTAATTTTTTTGGCCCCGACAGTAACCTACCAGTATTCATTTTATCTGCCGCTCCCCATCTCTTGAAATAGAATTTTGATAAATGGAAAGCTGCATTTTTTTTTTTTTAATGTATCCATTAAGTGCTTGGTTGGAACGAGGGAGGAATCCTTCAAAAGTAATTTTTTAATCATGATTTACGAGATCAAAATCATAATTTATAAAATACGAGATAAATATTAAAAAAATAATTTTGTCTCAAATTATATGAATAAGTGTTTTTGGACCCAATCATGATGCCAAATAAGCACTAAGACTAAATCTACCCTTACAGTTTAGCCTGGGCCCTTGCGATTCCAAGCGTCTTTGCGGACAAAATCATGTTTATTGACCAAAAAGACAAAAAGTACAATCATGTTTGAAGACTTAACATTGCAAAACTTGACGACATGTCTTGAATAGGCGTGGGACCAAAGCTTTTTATAAACATAACTGCGCAACCAACAACATAAAGTGTACTAGTATAGCAGGAACTTTAATCAAGAGAATTTGTGTCATTAAAATTAATACACGAGCACATCGCTTTTATGGGATACGATGTCCCAGCAGAATTAGTATCATAAGAAGAGGTGTCTATGGCGCTGTACTTCTATCTGATAATCATTCATTAATAATCAGGCATGTATTAAAGAGGCCGCTCTGCAGCTTAGCCCTTTACAGTCAAGATATTATCACTAACCTTTGAATAAACAATCTACCATGATAACAATATATTTAGCTTATCAAATCATTTCTAAGAAGTCATGAAATCTTATTCTTCTTTCTTGCAAGGGACTAAGTAATCGCCATTGAACATCAAATAGCAGCATACGTATCTTTAGAAGCTCATATTGCAAAAACAAAAGAATACATTTCAAGTGAATGTTGGCTTTGATGACACACTCGTACCAATCAAAGTAAATAACATGTCTAATAAGATTAAAAGAATTCTTCCCTCTACAATATTTAGACAACACATTAGAGAACCGGAATATCTTGAGATACAAGTTAATACCAGAAGGCAAATAAGCATTCCTGCAGAATCTACAAAAAAAACCAGGCAAGCATACACGAATAATACATACAGGAGAGTAAATGATGTTCGTGTCATCTCTATATTTGGCGTCAATTCACCTTGTTGTCTTGTGAATCAGCTCCAGAAAGGCTACTGGTCTTCGGTTTCTTGGTTTCTGCTTATGGACTTGCTAGTTTGGACACTACTTTCATATCCACTACTTTCACCTGATTCACATATTTGCTTATCCTTCAACCCATCTCTCGTGCTCATCCGCTGGGAGCGTCCGTTTTCCCTTCCGGTTCTTCGGTCCTAAAAGAGTTACAATTGACAATCAAAGTGACGCCTGAACAGAGGAAGAGAGCATGGCGCACTGCAATAATGATCTAAATTTGTCTGTTTGGGAGACATAAGACAC